GGATTAACATCGATTTAATACATTAATGTAGCCTTTCTTTCTGCTAAAAGAGGTGTCGACCAGCTGGGGCTACAAGAACATCGGCGTAATCGAGTGTGACTATTACAAAATAAATCATTATTATATTAATATTGATAATAACAACCGACCGTCGGGGTAGCATTTGCTTGGCATTTCCGGTTATTTCTCCACTGGTTAACATGGGTTAACAATACAGTGTAACTGTCACGTTTGAAGGGACGAAATCGTGACATCTGCACGTCTCCCAGCACGGTAAATCGTCACATGTTCACGTCTTGCCGTGATATATCGGGTTGCATTTGCCACAGAATCAGCCCTTGCAAAAACAGGGCTGGAAATAAGCAAATAGAGCGAAATGAGGCATGACTAAAATGCATGATCTGTTTGGTATTTTGAAAAACAAACTTCACGGACATGTTTTATATATGGCCCTACAATATTGTTCAAATATAGCATGATAGGTCCTCTTTAAATTAACTGTTTATCACAATGATTGTGGTTATGTGGGAATTATTTCTCATAAAACATTTGCAATCCCGACTTTCCTCAAAAGTTTAAACATTAATTTATTGCGTTCATGTTTACAGGTTCCTATCTTTACTGGCTCATTGCTGCCACCTGTAGATCAGTAAAATACTGTGTGACCAGGCTGAGTTGTGTATCACCAACACCCATTTAAAACATTGACCAATAGTGCAAGGAGTGGTAAAAAAAAAACTCAGGGCGCTTAAAGTTGTTTTCTTATGCTTGACAGACCTCCAGAACAACAGATGAAATTACAAAACCGTTGAATATAGGTGTAGAGCATGGTGTCAAACTCAAATACACAGTGGGCCAAAATAAAAAAATCGGTACTAGTCGAGGGCCGGACTGGTTCAATGTTTATTGCAAAACTTATTGAAATGAACCTATTGCACATATTAAACCTGGAACTAACAAAGCTTAAATTATTGCCTATAAAAACAACATTAAATAATCAGTTGCATTCATTTCTTAGGGCTCTATCTGCAGCTTTTCCGGAGTAATTTCTTATGATTACATTTTTCCACAGGCCAACAACAGCTTCAAAAAAACTATTTCCCTCAAAGAAAAAAATAAACATGCCATGTTGTCTCAAGAAAAAAAGTGCAGAAGGAAACATCCATTTAAACTCAGTGTGCTGCTCTGTGATGCACACTAAGCCAGATACTTGGTATCTCATCTTTGGTGCAAGTTCATCAATGTTTGGGGTCAGGCTCTGAGCTGAGGAAACCCTCAGGATTGGGTGAAGGTGTGCGTGCAATATACCGGCGGGCCGGATCTAATAGTAATTAGAAATGTTCCTGCGGGCCGAAATTAAATCCACCAAGGGCCTGATTTGGCCCCCGGGCCTTTAGTTTGACACATGTGGTGTAGAGTGTTTTTTTCAGTTTTCAAAGTTTGGTTCCAAAAATGTAGTCTCTGTTAACACTTTCTGGAACTGTACTGGTATTTGACTCAATATGCAGTTTCCTTTTAAGATAAGATAAGAAAAATATAAGATAAGATTAGATAAGATAGAACTCTATTTACTTTAATGGAAATTGTTGAGCAACAGTACAAGGCTGGAAAGTGTGCAATTATAGAAATATCAACCAACATCTGAAAATGTACACAACAATAATTATAATTTTGTCATTGAGTTTTTTCTCTCATCTCTCTTGCAGGAGTGTTTTCAGATACTGACAGCTGTTGTCGTGAACATGACCAGTGCAAACTCACCATCCTGTCCTTTCAATCCCAGTTTGGGATCTTCAACAGCAACATCTTCACCATGTCTCACTGTGACTGCGACAAAAAGTAGGGAGTACATGAATGTAGATGACATCCAGTCTATATCATCTGATTTGTCCTCTTTAATGTTATTTAACCCAAAATGTTTCATGCCTGCAGGTTTCACAGTTGTCTGATTAATGGGAACGACAGAATATCTGATGTGGTGGGGTACACTTTCTTTAACCTGCTGAAGATGCACTGCTTTGAGTTATCACACAGACTCCAGTGTGCTCAGAGAAACTGGTTTGGAATGTAAGTAACGTTTTAATTTATGTATGTAGTGTATGTTTGTGATTTGGATGACTATCTACATTTTTATTTATGCTACCAGCAATATAGTAGATGTCAATGTTGATTGGTCCACTACTTTTGTCCTGATTAATATGTAACTATATTCACTCAACTGGTGTACTCATGTGCTATTTTAACTAAATTGTACTTTACTTTAAGGTTGAGTTTTTCCATTGTATGCAACTTTGAACAATCACTACTACATTTCCGAGACAACTATTTTTGATACATTTAGTCAAAGTCAAAGTCAGCTTTATTGTCAAGAATTCTACATGTTGTACCTTCCAGAAATCTTGAAATATCGTTTTCTCGCAGTCCTACAGTGTGACATATATACATCAAACAGAAAAACAAAAAGGGCCTAGATAAACTTGGTATACATTAAACAAAATAAAGTGCCTAGATAACCGGGGTATATTTATCTGGCTGCTGTAGTAACTTTCATATATTTCAAATGATATTACTACAGGTGCAAAGAGACTGCAATGGCTCTCTATGCTGAGGTGCATCCACCCTCCGTGTACGAGTCTACCAATACAACAGAGGTGAACAACACAGACTTCCCCATGTACACCACCTCACCCACAGAGCTGCTGGGGAGCAGCATTTCAGACTCCATCGCTGCTGCTGTTTCCACAGTCCCTACGCCTTTAACAAGTTCCCCCTCCACCTCCATCACACCCGTGACCAACGTTACCTCATCCACATCAGAGGGAACACCTGAGAGGATCGAAGATCTGAAGAACACTTTACTGACCAAACAACAAACTCCATCTGAGCTGGACATCACAGGTATTTCCATCATCTCTCCTCTTATCTCCACACTCCCACAGTAACAGAAAGTTGGAGAGATTAGTCATAAAACCTTGAAATAAGTCAGCAATTTAGTACGTTTGGTTCCCTCATTTTGAAATAAATTGATGTTTGAATGCGTGATTGGATAGATGCCTGAAATAAGGTCTGTGGTTATCAAAAGCCTAAAAGATTTTAAGGTTTTATTTATTAAAATATGGTTTTATTTTATGGCTTAAATTATGTCAGTAAATACCCAACTTGTTAAGTTCTGAAGCTTTTATGAGTTATAATAAAGGCGGTTCCCAACAAGTGGCCAAATGTCATCACAAAAAAGACAAGTCATGAAATCACGAGTCATGAAATCATGCAAAAATATCCAATTCATGTTTAGAGATATTCCTGCTGAACACAATATGAAGTTATCATAAATCTCTGTGTGCTACAGAGCTAAATTACTGCATAAATCAGATGAAAAAATCCCATTGGCTTTTTGTTTGGGGAACAACTGTGATGCTAACTTCCAGGTCGGCTGACAACAACCATCAGTGCATGACTCAATGGATCTGAACATAATGTCTAAATCCCATAGAGAAGCAGCTGTCCTGTGCCGTCTACAACGATCTTGATGAGTGCAGGAATAAGATCCATCCGCAGCAGGAAAGATACGGCCTCCACAACACAGAGGCCAGGACAATGTACCACTGCAACTGTACCACCAGGTAAATAAAGACATCAAGATATCAATTATACTGAGAATGTGGATTTATTTTGGATAACATTGTTGGTCTCGCAGGGGCATGATCAGCTGGTCAGTCTGACACAGAATTACATTGAGTTGTGTCACGACATGTCTACACATATCGACCTAAACCGCCAGGGTAAATATTTACAGTGCTATTTAGTATATTGTGATAATGGTACACTCACCCTTATTTCTGTTTGAGAAAAGGCAGACATGGTGCGATGTTTCATCACACAGAACCAGGTCACAAGCAGCATGCACTCATATTCAGAGTCACACGGTCACATGAGGTGTGGCGACTCTCTGAATCCGCAGATATTTCACAGCCTTGGAAATTATCGTAATCTCATGTTTGCACACATGGGCTCTCTGTTCTGCTCTTTTTGCTTTGATGGTCTGAGCATCTGCTGTGTGTGTTTTTGGCCTCTCTGGTCTCTGACGTGTTTGTCTGTGCTTTCAGATTATTCCAGACTTTGGCTAAACAGAGACAACTGACCGAAGTGCAGGCTCTTCTGCTGGGACATGTGTCTCAATCCTGCTTCCTGCTACAGGACTGCACTGCAGGCAAACTGTAAGAATACAAACACAGACTTATTGACATAGCCTGTCACTGGCATTAAACACCGCTTTTTATCTATTATGATATAATTGCTCAATAGAGGAGTGATGGCATAAGAGTTCAAATCTATTACCAAGTAAACATGTCAATACAACAAAAAAAAAAGTATAATACTACTTCAGTAAATACAACTTATTTTAAGAAGTTTCTTACAGTAAGTACAAGTAGATAGGTATTATTAGAAGCCAGTCTAAGTACTAAAATGTCTCCGGTGACTGATATCTGATTCCAAGAAAAAACATAAATCTGCAAAGTAACTAGTAACTAGAGCTGTCAGACAGATGTAGTGTAGTGAAAAGTGCGATATGACCCTCTGAATATAGTTAAAATTGAAATTTGAAAAGTACAAATACAAATATTCAAGTAAAGTACAAATACTTGCTCCGTTCAACCACTTGTCCAATGGTTCCAAACATGGTAAACGTCAAATTAATGGAGATGGGCGGTAAATTCTACATTTGCTTTCCCTTTTTGTGCGTTATCCTTCATTTTTTCCCTGGTTTCAAGTGAATACAGTAGTTTAACAGTACAGTGTCTTAAAACTACAATTTCTTCTTGTTCTTACAGCTGTGGAGCAGTTCTGGTGAAAGCAGAGCTTCCTGAGAGGAGTAGAGCAGAAATGGAGGTGCAGCACCACCTACAGGCTGTCAGGCCGAAGGTGAGGAGGCCCAACGTGAGGAGAACGTGGAGGAAGGACAAAGCAGGCAGGCTTCACAAACTGTGTCTGAGGATGGTCCGGCCCAAACTCAACAGGAACAAGACCCGAAAACTAGGTCATCAGCCAGCTGTAAGAGGAAGAGAGCTTGCCTGAGAGTAAAAAGTATGGAGAGTCAAAGTGTTCCGAAATACTGAAATACATAAGATGTTATTTAAGGTCATTTTCATTTTATTCCAGCACTTAATTTAATGTTAAGTCTTCTTTCTTCCAAGGTTCCTTTATCCTTCGTTCCAGATGACAGTTTTGGCCTGAAAGACCAGACATTTTTTTTCCACTTAATTTAAGTTAGTTTATGAATCATTCAACATCATTCCAAGGGATAATAATTAAAGGTGGGGTAGGTCCTTTTGGAGAAACCAGCTCGAGTGCGCTAGAATTTGAAAATACACAGCTGGAAAAAATCTGCCACTTCCTTACAGAGCCCCTCCTCCAACACACATGAAGGCGCACATGACCAATGAGGGCACGAGATAAGTTTGTGCACAGATGGAAAGCTGACAGGCAGGTAGGCCATCCAGTTATTTTAGCCGGGCTGGCTAAAATGATTGGTCGTGCTTTTTACAGTACTACGGCTTCCACATTTTTTATGGATTGCTATCGGGATGTTAAGAGCATTCCATGGAATATAACAAAAAGTGTATCTCGAGCCGGTTTCTCAAACTTACCTACCCCACCTTTAAGTACAACCCACGTGACTGGGTACAACCCAGTCATGAAATTAATCTATTTATTTGTGTTCACCAACACGATTTCCCCATTTTTTTTCGTGTCACACAGAACAATTAAAAAAGCTATGTAAATAATAACAAATTAGAAGGAAAATAAGATTTAAAAAATACAGATTTCAGTATTCTGAGGCTCTGAGCCCCATTTATTTTCCTCGCGGATGGCAAAAAAACTCAGACATTATACAATTTAAAATTAAAATTAAAATCGTGGCTTGATATTGAGTAAGAAGATGTTTTTATGAACCACACAGCTTCCGGTCTTCCAAGACCCGACTGGACAAAAATACATGGTGCAGGCATGAAACATACTACCAATAGTAATACATTGCTTTTAAAATCGTTCTGTGTGACACAAATCAATAGATTACATTATTTCGTGACTATTACACGAAATGCTGTGAGACTGGTTGTTAAGTAAGGAAACCAAAAAGGCTCTCTATGCAAAAACAAAAGAAACATTTATTTGGAATTTGGTTATAAACAAAATACAGAAATATGCTGGGATGTAATGAGAATTGCCTGAAACAGCTTATAAAGAGTTTTAAACTAAAACAAAATGTTGAATATGGTAAACATTTTCAGCTATCATTTTGTTAACTTTTTTATTTGTTATCATGTTGACATTTATAGCCTCTAACTTAAAGCACCTAAGTAAAGTCATAGCTAGCATGGCTGTAGACTCTGCTATGTCAAAATGTCTGCCATTAAAATAGTCTATTGAGTCAAATATTGGTGGCACTTTCCTGATTTAAAGGAGGTCGTTGTATTAACCCCTTTATGCACCACTAAATCAGTATAACCACTTTTTAAAGTCCCTTGTGTCACTGTTCGAGAGGATTCAGCTCTTAGTGTATATTTGTAAATATGTGTACAGTGTTGTATGAGTTGTAGAGAGCTGCACATTATGTTATCAGCCCAGCAAAGCAAGAACAACTATATTCTGTAAATATTTGTACATAGGAAACATTATGAAATAGTTACGTTTAAAGGAATAGTTTGACATTTTGGGATTTCGCCTTCTTGTTTTAAAACAAGAACATAAGATGTTTGTTAAATCTGTACAATACTGAACAAAAATGTAAAAACTATAAAGTATGGCAGCTAGCTGTTTCCAGTCGTTATGCTAAGCTAAGCTAAACCCTTAGGCTAAACCTGGCTATATTTATGCATCACAGGAAATGAAAAGAGCGGTATCATATCTTTCAAACTACAGTGAACATATCTCCCAAAATGTTTAACTATTTATTTTAACTTTTAAACACAACATTTGCCCCTTGCCAATTAAATGTAATATGTGTTGATTATTTATTTTTTGTTGGTAGTAGCCTAAGTTAAAAACCATACAAACTGTGTTCATTTTTATTCCACAAGAAAAGCAAGACAATATAAAGATGTTTGTTTAATCTGTATAATACTGAACAAAAGTGTAAAAACTACCCTTGCTGTAAATTCACATTTAGAAATCAACATTAAGGCAGAGCTAGCTGTTTCCAGTCGTAATGCTAAGCTAAGCTAAGCCCACAGCTAAGCCAAATCACAGGAAATTAGGATCATATCTTTCCACCTACAGTAAAAAAGTTAACATATCTCCCAAAAAACTATTTATTTTAAACATTAGGTTTTGAACACCCAATTTGCCTCCTGCCAATTAAATGTAACATGTGTTTGAATATTTATTGTTTTGTTGGTGTTTGTTCGATCTAGTAAAAGTAAAAACCATACAAACTGTGTTCAATTTTTATTCCACAAGGAAAGCATCACTTTTATTCCTACATTAACATACCAGCAGTATTACAGACCTGGTGTAATGCATATCTGTCAGGTAACTCAACTCCCCTCTGATGTCATCAAGAGTAATTGGAACCTTGCTGAAGGCTGCAGCCATGGAGCCGACCGGATCCCCGCCTCTCACTGGACAAAACCTCGCTATGAGGAGAAGCTCGGCTGTGGGAACATGGCGCACACGCTCCGGATTAACTTTCCCCAGGAAAAAGTTTGTAGATTCGCTATTTAGCAGGCAAATCTCCCCATAGTATCGAGTAATAAACGCGCCGAAAAGTGTGGATAAACTACCAAACTGGTGTGTTTTGGATGGTGTGTTTTCCTGTCCTTCTTCACTGGGATGAAAGTTTGTCGCTGCCGGATTTAGCCGAGAGCAGGATGGAAAAGCAAAGAACGAAGAAAGAGAAGGTAAAGCTAATGGAAAAACAATGGTGTGTTTTATTTAGTGGTTTCACAAATCCGCTGGTGTGGCTGGCAGAGCATTCCTGCAGGAGACTGGGGGAGAAAGAAAGTTCACAGACTAAACAACAGCTCACATCCAATGATGAAGTGCCAGCCTGCAGGATTTGTTTTGAAACCACTGGTAGGAGTTTTGACTCATTCAACCCCTCCCAAAAAACGTAATCTTACCAATTGTTTTCTATATTGATTGATTACTCCATGTGTCTCTCAACATATACCATATCTTAAAATAGCAATACGTCTTAATGTTAGTGGTTGGGGAAGAACTAATATATTTTACGTAGGTATTGTAGGTTGTAACAGCAGTGCAGAAATACTTATAAAACTCCTCCAATAAAACAAGTGACAACAGGACAATGGTGTTGTAATAACAGCATCATGTCCTGAGAGTAAACGCTGAGGTAGTATATTACAAGTCCCACTACATATTATAAAAATTCTATAATGCATCATAGTTGAGTGGAGTAAAAAGTAAGCATAGTATTTTTCTCTGAAATGTTGTGAAGAAGAAGTAAAGTAGACTAAAATTGAAATACTCAGGTTAAGTACAAGTACCTAATTTGTGTATTCAAGTACACTACTTCAGTAAAGTTAGGTAGTTGATCACCACCGCTAAATGAGTAGTCTAAACACCAAAAGCTCAAAATTGTACTTGAATACAGTTTGTGTAATTGTACATAGTTACTTTCTACTACTGGTCTTAAGGCAGACACATATTCATAAATAAATATATCAACTTGTATATATCCTATCCTATGTTTATGCACAACTTGCTTCATATACTCTATTTATATATATATTACTGTATATGATTGCAAATAATAACGTGTTGCCTATAATGCCTCTCCTACAAGGATACTTATTGATAGATCAAAGTGCTGCGTTCAGGGACACAGCTTCCTCTCCAGAAATGTACTCCTTTTGACTTGGGCTGCGAAAGAAACTTAAGGAGTAGGCCTAGTAAGATAGGAGACAGGGGAAGTGTCTGTGTGTGTGTTTGTTTGTGAATGTGTGTGTGTTTGTCTGTGTTTGTGTGCGTGTGCATTATTTTAGGAAAGGAAACACATGTTGTGTTCCTTTTATTTTTGCGTGTGTGTGTGTGAGAGCCTTTAATTAGCTGTTAAAGGAATATCAATCAACAGACATGTGATGCAACAAATCACATACAGATGAAGCAGGTTGCACACACAAAAGGTCAGAGCATAGTTCGATATTTGATTTAGTTTACCATTAAAATAAATGTAAGGACATTATAGGACTAAAAGAATCAATTGCTGTGATTAACTTGTTTCATTTCTGTGGCCATAAAACCAACATTTTCTGGGAATCTTCTAAGGTTCTGTAAGAGAAAAATAAAGCTTTTATTGCTTAACGGCAGCTCTAGAATAATGAATATTTGTATATGAACAAAGGGTCAAATGATTGCAATGTTGGGTGTTGCACCCATGGCTAATTATCACCCCATTCTGCTTTATTGCGTGTTTCAGCTCATTGCATTGGGCTTTACGGCCAGAAATGTTCCTTTACTTTACTGTTTTGGTTCCTTTCATCAGCGTTGTTTTTGACCGCAGCAGTTTTTACAGAAAAAGCCACTGTACGCTACCTGCTACTAGCTAGTTAAGATAGTAGAGCATTTACCACTTAAAGAGCATATATGTCCCTCAGGAGGTTGTTGGGACCAAAAATGGAGCTAAAAGAAAGTGAAAAGTGGGCTTTCATGATTCGAAATTAATGCTGATCCTGCTGAATTTATGGTCCATGTTTAAGAATTGGAAAAAAACCCTCAATGGAAGGTGGAGTGAAAACCAGAACATTATAGAAATTATATCACTTGGAGATAAGTGCACATTTTCAGACTGTCTCTCCAAGAAGACTTTCATGTTTCCCTTATTAGTTGTTCAAAGAAAAATGACCGTAATAGTTGTGTAAAGAATAAAAATACAGACAACCGGCAAACGTCACCATTAATCCAGTGTATATGCCAGAAAGTAGTAACGGATATGATAATGCTTATCAAATGTTGGCAAGCTATCTGTAGAAGTTCTCGCTAATAGGTGTCTCCAGGACTGCATTTTGCCATGGTGACACACACACAGTCACAAGGTGAAAACTATACCAGCGTCTGGATATTTATTAAGACCCCTGATATATTATTCAAACTTATCAGGTAAATCTTTACACTCTCATTATAAAACTCTCGCTCTGTTTTACTCATCCGTACAAATACATCCTCTGCACTTACAAACAAACATTTGAACAGTTGGTACAGGTGCACCCACACAACACAACACAAGTGTGGTCAGACTAAAGTTTAAAGAACATTGTAACTCCTCTGTATTTACTGTATATAACCTGCTTAGTTACACAAACTGTGTGATTGCAAAAGTCCATCTTAGGCATTTCTCTTTTTGCACTCTATAAACTGTGTTCTAGTTAAAGAGTAATACGCTTGGAGATTTAAGTCCTAATTCCACACACGTGATTAACGTAGGTTTCTTCTATTTATTTCAGCAAACAGCGCCTTGGTAACATGTTTCACAAGCTCTGCTTCATATCACATGTGTCATATTTGAACGAGTGTTACATAACAACATTACCTATTCATTAAACGTGATGTCATGCTGCAGAGAGCAGCTGAGAAATGGGCTTTCAGATGACTGTGAACTGTGGAAATCTGCTTAGAAAGTTTAGCATTACTGTGTCACAGTTCTCCTCAGGACCTAAGCTGAGGACACTGAGGTCATGTGCATAATATTGTTCTCTAAACTTTTTTAGCAAGGCTTCAGTATTTTGACTCCTCGTAGTGTGGAGAGGGCTTCGAAACAGTATTTGTGTATTGCATTGTCCTTTATTTCAACATGTCTTGTTGAGATTAAAATCTGTTTTTCATGAGAGACTTTCAAGAAAACATTGTTAGAGCAACAAATACAAACAACATAAGATAACTATGCTAGAAAGTTGGGCTGGACAATATCTATAATATGTCGATATGTGAAATCTAGATATTGTCTTAGATTTTGGATAGCTTCATATTGTTAAATGGCACAAGTGTTGTCTTTTCCTGGTTATTAAGGCTAATACAGTAAATTAATGTTGTTTTCTGCACTTCTCACACTGTTCATGTTTTATTATTTTCCAACTTTATTTATCAAATTGTAATACATGATTTAAAGTGGACCTATTATGTTATATTGGAAACATATATTGTAGGGCCATACCTATACAAAACATGTCTGTGAAGTTTTTTGCTTAAAATACCAAACAGATCACCCATTGTATCCATGCCTCATACTGCTCATACCCCTCTTTTGGAACCCTGTTAGAGAAATGCGGATTTTGGGTCCTTAGCTTGAAAAAAAAAAAAAGAGGAGGCGGAGCAAATGCCTGATCAGAATTCTACCGGAGATAAAGTTAAATTCTGCTGTGATAAAACGCCATCCTGTTCTAAACCACATCAAAGATTATTTCTGAAACAGTATGGAGCTACAAATGCTTTTTCTCTTGCTAGGTTTATCACA